GTGTGTGTGTATGTATATTAAAAAAAAAAATCATTACATTATATATATATATATATATATATATATATATATATATATATACATATATATATATATAATGCCATGCAGTATAAACAGAGTACTAGAACTTACCAATTTTCTCAGAAGTAGTAACTTTGTGAAGTGAAGTGAAGATTTTGTAAGAAAGTAAAAATGTCATTGTACAGCAGCTTTCAAAAATAAATTGACAAAGAGCGTGGACACAAATCTATGGTAAATATTATTATTTATTCCTTGAGATTTCAACCATATCGCATGGTCTTCTTCAGCTATGGAACTTCAGCTAGCTAAGTAGGTGAATGCTGCGTTCACTTACTTTCGCTGAAATAATTGCGTCAGAAAATTCCTTCGCAGTTAAAACACAAAAAATAAACTTCAGCTTTAACTCTATTAGAGATGAAACAATTAATCAATAGAGCAGTATTGGCAAAAATTTTGTTCCAGCATCTCTCTGCAAATTTGAATATTTGGTAGGTTTCTTATTCTTCTGTAATAGGGAATTGAATATGTTTTCACTTTGGACTGTTTGTCAAAACAAGTAATATGAAGATGGTCTCTAGGAACTTGTGATGTACGTTTTTCATGTTTAATCAAGACAGTAATTGGCAGATTTATCATTAATGAAAATAGTCTGCAGTTGCAGTCAGAGTCTTGAGAAGTTTTTCGTTTAAATGTCGATTGGTTGAATTAAACTATCCACAGTTTAGAGGCAAAGACAGCAAATTCAGTAAACAGTGATTAGCAGACCTTGGTGAATTTAAGGTTCAGAAATGTAGGACTTGATAGATAGAAACTAGAATTTTATATGTAATATTTAAGTTTATGGCTGAGAAGTTGTGATTTAGGTGTGCTTGCACTTAAAAAAGCTGTAAGCTTTGAGCAGACAGCCGGAGATGTATTGCAGATTTTAATAAACGTGTTTCTACTGTTAAATTTAACAAATTACCTTAAAAATATATTTTGACTAATGTCTTTTCCCCTAAGAACCGACCACGTTATTCGCAGCAGCGTATGAATCATGCATTCAAATTTCAGAGCGCACACGTTTTTTGATGACCTTCATTTGTGCCAAACGCTATGTCACACGCATGTTGTTGTTACTACTTAACACTTGGGCGACACACGCTACCCCATTTTCCCACTCGCATGACCATTCATTTCCCAGACACCTCGGCCGCGGACTAACAGTGTAATCTATGTGTCAGGCAGGAAGGGGCACTCAGTTTAAAGCTGATAGAGTTTGCCCCAAACAAGGACAGCCTATCATAGAAAGATTAATGAACTAATTTCATGCATGGCTCCTTGCCTCTGTCCTTCTGCGCTTCCATGTTCGACTGTGTGTTCAGCACCATGATTTACGCTGTGTTCCTTGCTACAAGCTTAACCCCAAGCTTAACAATAATATTTCCCCTCAGTGGGAAAATACATAGTAAAATATGGAGAACAGAATTTTTAACCCTTCACTCGTCGAGCCAAGGATAGCATGAGGTCATTGTGGAGAACTGCTTTGAATATGCGTTTTCTTTTTTTTTCTTTTTTACTGCTGGTAAAAAATTTATTGTACAGAATTTTGGAGGCTGGAAAACATATTTCATGGTTTAGAGAAGAGGTGGATGGATTCAGGATTTATGTAGGGAAGCAGGGGATCTGCAACACTGCCAGCATTAGGAGGCATGCCAAAATACACACACACATGCACACACAGACATTTGAGATTTTAAGCTGCTCTGGTGGGACATTTTCACACCCATCACATTTTGGCTCCAAAATAAAAAATTTAAAATAAAAGAAAAACATCAAGTGGTCAGTGATCTGAGCGTGCACAGCAGGCCAGGCAGCATCTCAGTCATATTAAACATTACGAACAGTCATGTCTAGACGCTCTCTTTCTTTCAGTGTGGTGGACAGAGTGAAACCTGTGTGTCTGCTGCTCCGAGTGTCCATTGTGGGACCGTCTGGGCCTGTAAGAACAGCAGAGCAAAGAAGGCAGGTGACCTTCACGTCTGTCTGATGAGTCTTGCTTGTCTGCTCGGTTTGTACCATTTTTCTGCGCGGCGGAGCAAACACTACCCCATTAGATATTAGGTGCAATGCGTTTGTGCGTGTTTTGAGTGTGTGTGTGTGTTGCAGAGGGAAGCGGGGCAGGTTGAGGAGAGTCAGGCTGCGCTTAGAAAACTCTGTGTCTCTTTTATAATAAGAGGGGGAAACCAAATTATGAAACTATGAAGCTATTTCTGTCCGTGCGAATTGGTGGCTCGTGCCATTATTTTATTTCGACAGATTTGAAAGGACCCATTAGAAATTTCCATTAAACCTAACAAAAAACATCTCCCCAGCGTTACTGTGTGCTAAGTGTGGAATGAACTACTTTTTACATATGCCACAATGTACTATTCCATAGGGAATCCCCCTATCTGGCTGCGATGATGTATTAACTGTTACCACGCCGCTCTCTCCAATTCCCTCAGATGAGAGAAAATATACCTTCCAATTGACTGTAGGTGCATGCTGATTGCTAACAAGGTTTAACATGAGCCCTGTGAATCTTTTATAAACCGCAATAGCCTCAGAATGTAGACTAACATAATGTTGTATCGCTCCATCTCGCACTATGTTAACAGTCCTGACTGATTAAAAATGCATAAGGAATGTCTGGGACCCGTAAGAGGAGGGTTTATTTTTTCATGCCGCATCTGGAACAGGAAGGAAGCAGAGGATCAATAGATCTGATCTGGGCCCAGGGGTAGAGGCTATCTCCTCCTCCTCCCTCCACCCGCTACCCGTTAGCAGTTAAAAGGGAGGTTTCATGTTGTCGGGGGTCTGATGACTTCATGGCTTTATATAAACACTTATGCAAAGAGGCAGCAGAGGGAAAATACATTCCTAACCACAACACCAAATCTGAAAACAGGGGCAGCCCCTGGCAGCTAAAAAGGCAAGAACTTCAGAGGAATCTGGTCAGCATTAACTTCCTGTTAGTTTCAGACATTCTTAACATGGCTTTCCACTGTTCTCACCCAATATTATAAGCATGTAGGGCTGAAGTTGTGTAAGATCAGTGCCGACTCTGACAGACAGAGCCAGCAGTTCTAACACAGACCCAGGCCTCATTTCATGCTTTGTGTGAGAGGATATTATCGAAACTACAGTGCAGCAACATGCAGACACTATACCGCCTTGAAGAGAAATTACTGGCAAAACAATAGTAGTAGTAATAGTAACAGTAGTTATTATTTATTCTGTCACTAGCATACAAGTGCCCGACAAGCAAAGTACATAACTTCTTGCATAAAATCTTACATGGCAAATAAAGAACTTATAACTTGTATGTATCCTCTTTAAGCTCTAGCAAATAAAATTTGCATTTGAAAAAAGGGTTTCTTTCTAAAATAAAACGTGTTTTTTTAGCAACACTTGGAGCAGTGGAACATAGTCCTCCAGAAACCTTTTGTTTGTTTCACATATGATGGTTCTTGGTAATTATCTGGCAGTTTTTTGTCTATAAGTCAAGTCAATTGAAAACAGAGAAAAATGGAAGAAACCTCAACAGCGGAAGGATCCCTCTTGAAGATATGAGATAAGATGTTCTAAGTAATTTTTCCCACAACTCAGCCTTTTCCTTGCTTTTTTCTAATGAAATTTGGGAATAGGGAACTTAATCCTAGGTCAGTGGCTCTTTCTCAACCTCTCCAACCTCTCACTGAAGTCCACCGTAACCCGGCACCGTCCTTTGGCAAACTAACCGGGACTATTGATTGGGTCATGTATTACCCATGATCCTCCATATGCTGAGTGTAACACCTCTCTCTCTGTCCATTAACAGCCTTCTGAAGTTTCATTCATTCATTTACTTCTGGCAGCCGACCAATTGTGGGCATTGTTTGCAAGATGTATGGGGCATCTGTTGACATGGTCGTTAGTTACCATTTTGCCTGAAAGAAATAAGCTACTGTACTATATCACCTGGCATTCCAACACATAAATGGTTGTGTCTGTAACATAATCTATCAAACTCAGATGAAGCGGCGCGCTCCATCACAGTTGATGAATCTCCCGCACAATGATCAGGCGATGATGGAAGAAAGCGACGCTCAGTACATCTTGACAGACTTTTTAGCGGTGATAATTTCCTTCGTACAGCCGTTTGTAGCCGTATGTGTTTACTTCCATGTGAGGTTCTTTGTGTCTCTAGAAAATCAGCGCTTATTTGTATGTGAGGTAAACAGGTTCCTTTTTTAATATCACTGATTTTGTTTGTCCCTCCAGTTTGTTTTATTAAATGATCCACGATGAGTTGGAGTCCTTAATTTAGAAGTTTTGTTTGATTACCAGGTTTTGTCACCATGTATACCTTTTAAATCCTACAGCGGCTCTAGTTTGCAATAAATTTACTTTGAATTCATTTTCAAAACTGACAGCAGCTCTCACCCTTTGTGTGTTTATCCAGGTTGCTAACCAGAATGCCCTCTGAGGACCGACATTTATCCTCGAGCTGTGGTTCCTACGTCAAAACCGAGCCTTCCAGCCCTTCCTCCTCACTAGTAGACACCGGCAGCCACCACAGTCCCAGTGGCAACTCTGACGCCAGCGGCGGCTACATTAACGGCAGCAGCAGACACTCACACGCCTTGGACTCCCCGCCAATGTTCAACCCGGGCATGCTTGGAGGTGGCGCGGCCTGCCTACGCCGCTACGAGGAGTGCTCCGGCGTTGTGGCGGACGACTCGCCAATCAAGTGCGAGTACATGCTCAATGCCATTCCCAAGAGGCTGTGCCTGGTGTGTGGCGACATTGCCTCAGGGTACCACTACGGGGTGGCCTCCTGTGAGGCCTGCAAAGCCTTTTTCAAAAGGACGATACAAGGTATTTCCCGCTTCTTCTCACAACTTTCACAGGCTCACCTGAGCTGATCTTCAATGTCTGTACGTTCTCAGCTAAACCTAAGAATAATTATATTTTCTGTGATTTCCCAGGTTGTTGAATATTCTGCAAAGAGAGTGTTTAATACAAAAGTGCTATTTGTTTATGGTGATTCTAAATACTTTTTATTAGCCTTACCATGCAGTTGTGATTGCCAGGAAAGCATATTGACCAGATGAGGAATCCATTGTCATGTGTTCCACGTGTTCCTCAGTGCTGGTATCCAACCCTCTGCTCTTACGGGACTAATACGAGGTAGTGATTACGAAAGTCTACAGCAGGCATTAGGCCCAGACTGTAAATCTGCTCTGGGTTGTGATTTTTTTTTATGCGTTTGCATGTGAATCGTACGTCTGGCATGGACTCTGCCATGTGTGGGAGCTGTTCCAGAATAATCACTTGGACAGAAATAATACGCCGCAAACCGAGGTGCAGAATTTTGAATTTTATCTGCAGGTTTTGTCTCTGTAGAGATGTAGTTAGACAGCGGGTTAGTAAGGCCTTGGTCACACCGAGGCATGTAAATTTGAAAAAGGAAACGTTTTTTGTCTGAAACTATCTTGAATCCCTTTTTAATTTTACTGAGAGTTGGTCACTTCATTTGGTCTTCAGGGTAAAGCTCTCTATGTAATCACTTTCTGTGTTTCACTGTAGCCCAACACACTTTACAGATGTTATATCTTCCTGTTTCTGCTGTTAGACACCACAAGTATACAACAGTGACTCAACTGTAAGTCCAACAGTATTTCCTGGGCTGCTGCACAAATGTTTTTAATAAACCTAATCATTTTTACTTTTGCAGAAACAGAAATAAATGTCAGTGTTAACACATCCAACATATGTGTGACCGACTGTACTGAAATACAAAATACGCAATCACCACAAAGAGTGGAGACAACATTTATCTTCATTTCGGCTTAGGAGACACCAACAGTGACACTGTTTTCTAAAAGTCTTCGATTTTCATCCACTTGGAAGAGCATTTTTGAAAAGGTTAAGTTGCAAAATAGATAAAATAGATGCATTTTTAAATGTATCCATATTAGTGTGGACATGGTTTAAGAGACAACAGCCTACCTGATTACTGGCTGAAGTCAGTGTGTTGAAGGGATTCAGTCAACATATTGGATTATTAATATACAAATTGTACAAACCAGTAAAACTGTAAAAAAATATATATTTTAGTGAGAAAAGACTTAAAAGGACAAATGAAATACAAAGAATAGTTTCAACTTTGGCATTTCCCCATCAATCATTTAATTTTTGGTCATTTGAAGGTTGCATGTGTCCAGCGATACAGTGAAGGATTGTAAATAATGTTCATGTGTGACTTTGTGTCGTCTCGCACAGATCACCCCCCCTTCTTTTTCTTCTTCCTCTCGCTCTCCTTCGTGGAGGACAGGCCCATAATGAACCTAATCTGTCCGTCATTCGTCCTGAGCCGCGGGAGTTTCAGTCAATAACAATCAGTGTTGGGTGACTGTAATTAAGAACCAGGCATTTCATTGGGAGAAAGTCGAGAAAGGAGGGCGGGAGGTGTAGATCTGTTCTTTGCCCCCGGGCCCCTCCATCCCACACCCAAGGGGGAGGAGATGGGGGGGCCAATTAGAAGCTCAGGCACGTGTTATTGGGGGCAATAACAGAGGAAGGGGAGAGAGAGAGAGAGATGCAGAGGAGTCCTCCAAATAAAAGGCAGAGGGACAAGGGACAGGGGACGTGGTCATTCACTGAAAGGAGAAGCTGCTTTAATGGAATGGTAATCAGGAAGGGGGGTCCCGGCCTCGGTAAAGGAGGAGGACAAGGAGAGGTCCAGCTTGAGTGGAGATGAGCGCGTGGATAATAGCATGGCATAACAATATATCAAAATTTAGAGGGAAAATAAGAGAGGTTAAGGAAGGATATTAGAGTGGTTGAAATGTCCTTTGAGAAATAAAGGTGGACACAAGACCTGATTAACTAAGAGGGTATGCCGACAGTGAGCTTTTAGAGGTAGGCAATTTAAGACTATTGTGGACCCCTAATGCAACCCCACCACCCCCCTACCCTTCACATACACACATAATCAGGAACACACAGGTTATTTTTGATCCATTCAGGTATAAAATGTTTCCTTTAATAATCGTAAAAATATTAAAGAAATGTGACCTTTTCTGAATGGATGAAAATCCTCTGTTCTATCATTCTTTGAATTATTTGCACAATTTATGTTTTAATGAATAAAAAATATGATGAAAAAAAATGGCATGCATACTAAAAAACACTTCCCCTATTCACTCAGACAGTCAGTAGTTTACTCTATAGTGAGCAGTAAATGGAGATTTCAGGTATTTTGCATCAGCACTGCAGTAAATGCATAGAAAGAAACTAATGTACATCCCATGGACACTGTTTCTGTTCTGTAGTGGAAAATTTTGAGGGCTCTATATAGTGGATACATTTCACAGTCGGAATTTGGACACTAACAAGGTGGATGTTATAGATAAAGTGCACTTTTTGATAAATCTGGAGTGGTTTAGGACACAGCCTTAATGTACATTACTTCCCCACAGTGTGCTCACAGCTGCAAACTGCAAACAGCAGATGTTGATGAGACAGCTCGAGGAAGTTAATAAAAACCAGAAAATAAAGCAAGAAAAATGTCTTTGAAGTTAATTGGCTTTTGGTATTTCAAAGGTAGAGCGTGATTGATGTCCGTCAGCATATATACTGCTAATTCTATTCTACTTAGTAACTGTATAATGTATCTACAATATTCATATTCATAGGTATGTTTTCATTAGTGTATAATCACCTGAACATAGGAATTGTAATGTTTTTGTTACCTTAGAATAAGACATTTTTTATCTATAGACACCCCAGTTTGCCTTCCATGGAGTCCGCCATGTTGATCCACCATGTTTCTACAGTAGCCTAGAAGGGACAAAACAAACACTGGGTCTAGAGTTCACGTTTTTCGAGCATTTCATGGCACACAGTAGTGTCTCCTTCGCTCTTGGAAGGGGAGGGTGAAGCGACGGAGCTGCGATCTCCTACTAGATGCCATTAAATTCTACACACTGGACCTTTAATATGCATACTTTTGTGTGTACGGCATTTACATTTGGTCACTTTTTCATAAATATATATTTAAAACCTGTTTAGAATCAGTATGTAGTATATATGTAAATAAAACATTGGGAACAAAGTCATTGAATTGTATTTTAATTGCACAAACCATATAATATGACAATTAGTATAAAGTACATGTTGTATACAATTGGTTGTAAGATAGAATCAGTACACAGTGTGTGCCTCTGCACACAAGCCCTGCACTGTACTGTATTTCCCTCTCCTAACGCCTCTCAGTTAAAGACTTTACCCACCCTGAAACCAGCTGCAGCCTCTGCCAACATCCTGGCATGGTGCCCTGGGCCCCTCACTGTGCATGTGACCCTGCTGGCACCATCGATGCCAGGGATCCTGACAAATGTTGGCACCTTCTCCTTGACCAACAGGGGATTGTGTGTGTGTGTTGGGGGTGGGGGGCAGCTCTGGCAGATCTGCAGCAGACAACACCTGGTTTGCTGTTTTTAGGTACCATTAATACATCTCTGGACTTACGGGACATTGTTTAAACATTCAATCAAGGGATTCGGATACTTGGGAAAGAGGATTTGTCATTGGATTCTTGGGGTCACATCTACTTTTGAAGTGACCGCTTAATGATCCTGAAAAACCCTGTTCTCACTGAAACCTGGTGAGAAAAACAGGCAGCGGTTTCATGGCAGCAGATTCAATATGTCTGCTTTTCTGGCTTTTTTTGGACCCGAGTGATTAAATTGCATAGGAAATATTTCCATAGTGAGCCAACAACCGTAGACACGGACTTGAATAATACATCGAGCTTTGTTACATGATATGGGAGCCTTAGATTGGCGAGTCTAACTGCAGCTCTTGGTCTTTACTGGAGGAACATTATGCAGAGAGCTCGTCTGTGCGTCCATCTCTCAGCCCTTGTGTTGTTGAGGGAGGGCAGCTTTCCCATCATCCTTTAGGTGAAGAAGGATGGGCTGGATGGGGTCGTGGTGAGCATTGCAGAGAGGACGCTCTGCATTAATGAAGCTAATTTATCTGTGAATCAGAATGGGGGTGGGACTTCGGGGGCGGGGAGGTGCTTTTTACATGTCCCATCAAAATGCCACTAAACCCTCCTCTCCTTCAGGAGTGTCACACGGGGTCACCTTGGGACAGGTGTGTATGTCTGCGTGTGTGGGTGTCTTTTACTGTCTTTCTTTGCCTGTTGTTTACCATTTATGATCTGGTCTCCTTTCCTACGCAATAATTCTAAAACTAATTCCTCCTAATTGCCGATATGCAGCTTTTGTGCTCACAGAATTAATGACAACATGTTTTTTTAATCTTCTTCAGGGAATATTGAGTACAGCTGTCCGGCCACCAATGAATGTGAGATCACCAAAAGGAGACGCAAGTCGTGTCAGGCCTGCCGCTTCATGAAATGTCTTAAAGTTGGCATGTTGAAAGAAGGTGAGTACTGGTTTTTATCATTTTGCCTATGTTTCTTTTTTTTTACTTATTTCATCTTATCATTTATTTATAAAGATGTATTGGTGGAACAGCCAGTCTGCAACTACTTTGACAACCATTTAGATCAAATTTTGAACAATAATAAATAAATGAATCGATAAATGAAATAATTGTTAGCTGCAGCCCTGGTGAGGTTTTAAAAAGGGCTTATTGGTCTCAACAATTCAAGAAATAATGCTAAAAGTAGCAAAAAAAAACCACAAATCTTAATTTCATTCTTCTGATTTCTTTGTTATAATTTAAAGACTTAAACTGTCCTATATGGTAACAAAAAGCTTTATGATCAGCCAAAATGTGAAACTTTTTAAAAAACATTAAGATGCTGTGTAGGTTCTAACCTTAAAGCAAACAAATAAACGTGTAATATTTTGGGTCCTCTATCTTGATCTTAGGAGTAAATATTAAAATTTTGAACATAGACGTCAAACAGTCTTACTGGGAGTTACAAGACTGGTCAGTGATCAGATATTAAAGCTGGCTATGGCCTCTGGGAGACACCGTGACATCACCCACAAGCCTTACTTACCTCTCCACACACTGAGCCGCTCAGCGTTTAACTAGGGTGGGTAGGAAAAGCTGCTGAGTTGGATGTTCCTACCAAGACTGACTGAGAAGTGTAACAGTACTCTTGAAAAGCACAGGCTGTTCCCCTAAGACTGCCCTCTCCCCTGGGCTCTGGGTGTCTCTCTCCCTCACCCTCTCTCTCTCCCTCTCTGTCTGTCTGTCTCCCTTCCCCTCCCTTTGCCTGGCATATTGATCCACTAAATGCTTTCCGAACATCCCACCTCACTTCCTGCATGTGTTGTTTCTCCTCCACTGAGAGACCTTTGGGAGTACAGAGGGAAAATCTAGCCGATAGATTTTTCTTTTTCTTTTTTTTTTTCAGGGAAAGAGGGTTTTTTTGGGGGGGTTGTTATTTTGCATTTGTGTGTTTAGCTAGAGGAACTATTGCACACTGATGCATAGAGTCCAGCTCTAAGTTATGCTTTTGTAGAGAGTATTATAATACCTACTGCTGAATTGGGACTTCACTGCACATTAGGCAATTTCTCTCTGACACCAAATATATCAAATGTGTTCCAGAGCGTATTTTCAATGTTTTCTTTGTAACACCACAGACAGAATAGCAGTGATGTGTGGTGCATGCAAAGATAAAAAAAAAATGCTGAAACTTTGATTGAAACAGTTGGTGAAATTAATTACATTAAAATCAAAGATGGCAGTAAGTAGCACATTGCGTACCTTTCCATTCACAGTGTTGGACTGGTGCATTGTAACATTACTATTACAAGACAACATTAATATTTAGACAAGTAATTTTTTTTCATAAATTATTATTAAACACCGGTGGTGAGTGCAAGGAAGCAGAGTATTATGTGTCATTTATTTATTGAATTCCATGTAATGTATTTCACTGGCGCAGAGGGGTTTTCAAACGGTGAGGCACGAAGGGAGATACAGTATGTGAGGCACAGATAGTGCGTGAGGTGAAAGGGACAGGCGAATGCTGGCGTTCTGAAAACAACAAGAAGTTAGTTATTATAGTTTGGATGTTTATTCGGCCCTCTTGTCAGCAGTTGGCGGTGCGGCAGTGGCTGTGTCCCACATAAAGGCAGTTAAGGTGCGACCCTCACTCAATCAAATTTGAACACGCAGACATGATGAACACATTTTTAGATTTAGTGTGACTTAAACTTTCCGAGGATATCAATATCTCAGATGGACATATACAAATCAACTTAGAAATCATAGGAAAAAAAGCTTCTTATAACTCCAGACCTTGCTTGAGAAGTGTCAAATTTTTACGTTACTTTCAGTGTCAAAGTAATATAGTGGTAGTTGTCTGCAAATCTATGGGTACATTGCCGACGTAAGCTGCTAACTGCTAATTCAACATACTTACATGTTGCCAAAATTAGCAAATATAGGCAACAAATCAGAGGTTCAAATCCTGTGCTTTAGTTCCACCATACCACACTTAGTTTAGAGTTTTGTTGACAGTAGTGTCTCTGTGTTAATAATACTATTTGAGCTCTGGTGGCATTAATAAAATTAGGACCAGCATAAGACTCCACTAAGTATAACATTGTATCTCACTTTGGAGACAAATTACAGCAGGTTAAGATCTGGAGTTCAGCCCACTGCCATCCACACTGATTGTATGATATATATCTTAACATAAAAAGGAGCATTTAAAGAATTTGTTTACAGCCTCTACTTCAAGACACAACAGTCATAAATTTCCTAAAATAAAACCATGGTCATACAGTTTTGTTGTGTTCTGCCAGCACCAAACACATCTCATAATAGAAGCCAGCAGCAGTTAACTGCAATCTGTGCTGGTAACACAAGATTGTATGTCAGGCTCTTGGTTCACTTCCACTAATACAGCTTCACTATGTACTGATGTAGCTGTGTTTGTTCATCTCAGACTGAAGGGTCACCCATTGTATTGCCATTACAACACTATTTATACATGCGCCCACTCTTGATGTCTTCATCCCGGCCCAAATATCTCACACCGAGGCTTTGACTCTCAGCCAGAAAAAACAACGTTGCTTCAGAAATAAAGCTGAAACTATTAGCGCATGCTTAGAGGAAAAACGGCGGGGTATTGTCTGCGGCAGGCCGAGCTAAGCCGTTGATGTGGACAGTCGTTGTGTGTGTGTGAGTGAGAGAGGGGGAATTTGACGGCGTAGCCTCCACCGCCTGCCACTCATGAGACGCAGCATCACAGCCACCGCGACATGTGGCACAGTAGGTGATTCTCTGAAAGTAATGGCATTCAATTAAAAGGAAAAAGGACATTTAATCGTGGCATAGTGCTGTGGCTTGGCCTCTTACAGACTTGGGGGGGGCTTTGATCATGGAATCAGTGGGGGGACAGCAGCTTGCCCTACTTCATGTAATGAGATCACCAATAACAAGTGGCCAAGGGCTGGTCATGGAAAAGGAATAATCACATACGAATGCAGGTGTCATTTCTTCTATTCTACAGCTATTAGCGTACAAACATTAACATTTTATAGTTATTTCCTCATGAATTCTTTTCATCATTGCTTACATTACAAAAAACACCCCAAAGGTACAGTGCGGTAGTATCATAAGAAATGCCTTGCACTGCAGAAGATGTTGAGAGAACTTATGTGATTAGTTGTTCTAAAAGTGTTTTAATATTTCCACCAGGACCCTCTAAGCTCCGCTCTAAGCATGCCATCCTGAATTATAAAGTGCCAGCTGCTACAGTTATAGCACCATTGGTGGGCAGGGGAAACCCCTCCTCCCTGTAACACCTGCCGCTAATCAGCTGACTTCAGCTCTCACGCCCGGTTTGGTGGCTTCAGGTGTGTTTGGATTCCAGTGTGGGTCCAAATAACTCAACTGTTCGAAGAAGCAGCTCAGTACAGCAAAAACATCATGAAATTTATGAGCGTAAATTCCATCCCTCCTATTCCTACCAGCATACAGTTTTTGTGACAAGAGATTAATTTTATATCTTGTATATGAGAGGAAAATCAAAGAGACTCATTGTAGATGACAGGCTTCTTTCCAGATCCGGCTTTACTGCTGTGCCACAGCAGAGCGCCTGGATGAGCTGCGTGGAAGGTAGCGGGGGCAGGCGTCTGTTTGAGGAAACCAGCCCCGCTCGCTCAGTGACCCCTTAAATGTCCAGCTGAGGCTGATAAAAGGTCACAGGTCCAATGGAAAAACTCTCACGTAATTACAACTCGCGGAAGGTATGGTGTCAGTCCCTACTGCCAGGAGTCAGTGCCCGCAGCTAATAGCAGCGCTAATATCCCCATAGCATTACTGTATGGTGTTAAATGATGCAAGAATTTTCTGGACTGAATGGGCATTTTTTGACTTTGTTATTTGAGTCACTCTTGTTATTTTCTGCTCAAGATGGATAATTTATTCTAAGCTTTTTATAGTTTTATTGCTGCAAGAATATCTGCGTAGGTCTTTAAACAAGTAATCACATCCTCATGTTAGCAAATTAGCATGTTTAAAAAATATGGCCTGTTGAAACCGAGGCGTACAACCTCTGTTGGCCTACTGAATTTCTGTCATTTTTTACAATTTGAATAAAAGATAAATAAGCCTTTTTTTCAGCCTCTTCTGAAGCCAGGGCTCGCTGGCTTTAGTGTTAGCTCAGTGTTTCTGTGGTGTATTCTTTGCTTGTGGGGATTTTCTAACACGGCTGTAATGTGGTGGATGAATACAAGCTGCCAGACTATTTTGGCAACCTACACCGCTGTCTCGCCCTCGCCTGACCACAGATAGGGATCAGCAGTCTTTCCTGAGCGAACGTGGCTACCGGGGTAACGTTACAGCCTTATTTTCCTCCAGCCACATACACAAAAGATTAGTAAAGCCATATCCAATATCACAGACTGTCAGGTCCCTTTCCAATCAATATGCTTAGATCAGAAACCAATCTATACGCTAAGATTACATCATCAAAATAAAGATATTGCAAAAGTCTATACTGTATGGGTGCCTTAAAATCTTAGTCGATACATTTGAACAGCGAATGTCTACAAAGCCAGATTCAGTTTTTCCCATATTGCTGTATATGTGTACGTTCAAGGGAGTTAAACTGTAAAGACAGACTGCCCTCTGACCCCTTGCCTCTTGATTTTTACTTGTAGCGCAAACTTGTCTATCTAACGGCACATGTATGGGGCCTTGTTTGCTTTTTATGGTGTCAGATATATCTGGCAGACTGCAGCTGAGAGTCAGTGCCCACCCAGAGGCTCTGCACTGGCCTGTCCTCACTGTCTGGCAGGTGATAGATCAGACACGGAGGCTAACACGTGTTCCTCTGAAGAAGGGGATTTAGCGAAGTGTTGACCTCTTTACAACCCTCTGATACACACAATCGACTCACAACACACACATTCATGTACACACATGCCAAATGTATATCACCCCTGGCAAGTGACATGGAATCGGACCTTGAGGTACATCCTTGCTGTCACCCTTCGGCCTCTGTCTTTGTCTCTTTCTCCCACTGTTAACACACAACCGTGCGAACACTACAAAACCGAACGCCTGCTGCGCCAATACACTGGGGATCCTGAATCGACCCGGGCGTTTCCAGCCGTGCAGATGTTTTCGATTACAGGCGCATTTGTGGTCAGTGTGGCTCAGTAATTCACAGTAATACCCCTTGTGGACACGCCGGCTCAGATTTATGAAAAGTGTAAAACATGATAAAGAGAGCAATGCCATTGTGCGTGGTTATGGGAGAACAACTCCAGTTTTGTCTTGTCAGCCCATCAGAGGTCAGAGCAGGTGGGACGCCATCCTAATACACCCCGCCCCCCTCTTCCCCATGTCCTGTACCAATTTTCCTCTACCCTCCCTCTCTCTCTGCAGCCCACCCAGACTCTGTACAATCAAACAAGAGCTGTCCGGTGCCTTTAGCTCTTTGCAGGCTTGTAGACTCGGCCCTTAGAAGCAGCTCTGGAAGGGCAAGGTCCCTGTGCCTTGTAAAGGGTGAGCGACTGTGTAGGAGGGGGTGCACACTGCATCCCTCTGATTTTTCCCAGCTAAAATAGGGAGCTCCTAATCTCCCTTTGGCAGCGTTAGCCAGCCAGCCAATTCTGACACATTCTCTAGAAAGAAGCGCCTCTGACAGGTGAGGGACCGAAAATAGTTCTGTGAGATACACACACACACACACATGCACATGTTCATATAGTGACACGCATGCTTGATACACTGTAGGGGCCACATGCACATTTGTTTGATGAAATCTGTTCTCTATAGAGCTTCTTCTGCGTCTCATACAAATACTTTGAGATTCTATTTGTTTGGGATTTTTCTTTATTGTTTTTATTCTTTTTTTTTTCTGGGAGGATTTTTTATTGCTTATTTCTATTGTTCATGTTTGATTTGTTCTGCTGTCTAATTTATACAATGTTTAGGCATGTAGCCATTAAGGATACTGAACTCGTGTTGCCTGTAGTTTGTCTTTGAATTTAAGGGTTTTAACAGCAGTGGGGTGTTATATGGTATAATTTAAACCACACATGGTGGGTATTTTATAAGGTATTTCTAGTATCTTAAGATTCAATATTTGTAATTTGTTACTCCTTCTAGGCCAAATAAAAGATAAATAAATAAACTATTAATTATTTCCCCACCAGATTTTGTTCTTGGCAGCACAGAAAAGGCATATTTAGACCATGGTGGTCTAAATCCAAGTAATCTGTGTAATTACAACATTGGTGTTATATGCCCATGAACTATATGAATTTTAAATTGTTGTTGTTGTTTTTTTTATGGTGACATATCCAAATAAAGAAAGAAATAATAAACTCAAAAAAATAAATCCACATGACACATACACACAGCTCCCGTCACATAAAGGAAACCAAAGCCGCTTCAATCAGGAATGTGCTTTAAGGTTGCACAAGTCAATAAAGATATTGAATGTGAAAGGGAAGCCGGGGTCAGGTGGCCGTAAAGATTGCTCCTATGCAAACATGCCTCATCGTCTTTCCACGCACATGTACACACACACACACACACACACGCAGTAAGGATGGACTGCCAGCCAGTATCTTTGTGTCTCAGGCCGCCTCTCTCACAGTCTGCACTAAGTTATGAGCGTACTGTACTGTACTGTATGATCTTACCGAGCTCATAACATTCAGCACACACATTTCTACCACCTCCCATTCCCCGCGCTCTCTTACCCCATAACCTCACCCCCTGCATCCATATTTTGGCTGCCACACTTTATGAAGGGCCAGTAACAGTAAAAGAAAAAAATGGATCTGGATGCTGTGCACCCACATGTGTGTCACCAGGTCTCTCACTACCGAGGCACAAGCTGAACGCAATTGTCTTGTAGCATGGAGGCTGCTGTGGTTTTGGGCATGTGGTGGTGGTGCTGACGATGACACAACCCCCCCCAGCCGCCGCCTCCGCCCTCCCTCCACAGCCCTCTACAAGGGGCCTCATCCAGCTGTCTTGTTGTGGTCAGATTCTCAGTACTGTGCCGTATCACATGGGGAGGAGATAATCCCGCACTGGTCAGATCAGGCGCTGGCTGGGACAGGCAGGGCTGTCAGGGAGGTTGATGTACACCCGATGCTGAAAGGGAGAGAAAAAGAGACAGACAGAAGGCAAAGTGAGAGAAAGGAAAACAGAGATCTTGCAGAAAACTGATACATTCAGCCAAGAAACAGCAGCCTGTTCTCTCTTATTCCCCAACCGTCCCGTTCTTTATCAAACCCTTTTCTTTCCCTTTCTGTCATTCTCTCTGCCCTCCTGCTTTGGGTCTCTGCCGTTTGCTGCGCCGCTAAGCTGTAAACTGAAACTGGTTAGCACTGAGCTCTTAATTCTTGTCAGCGTCTATTAATTATGGGCCAGTTGGATGTTCCAGTTCAAACAGCCCCCGCGGATCTTGGAATTCTAACTCCGGCTGTTTGGTCACTTGTCGCTTGTTGCAGCCACATGACCCTGCAGCCCGCAGCAGGGAAAACTGTGTGTGTGTGTGTGTGTGTGTGTGTGGATGGTGGTAGATGTCAGGGACAAAACCAGCAACAATTTGCTGTCACTTAAGTCTACAGTAGAGTGAATTTAGGGTATACACCCACTTAATATGTTTTTGCATTACATACGCTAACTGCATATCCCTTTATTAGGCCTATGTGTGTCATTAGATAGATAGAAGCTATTGAATTGATTTAATATCTGGAGTACATGGACACAGTTTCCTGAAGCACTATTTATAATTTTAAATTTACCTTAACCAAGAGTAATGGTACGAACAACAACTAAAGCTCCATCTATCGCAAACCCAGTTCCTAGCTGCCTAACTGACTAATTAAAACCGCATCCACATGTGTTCAAAGAACAAGAAGTCTATTTGCAAGCCTTATTGATTACTTTAAGGCGTACAAATGGAAAGCTGTGTTAGGAGAGGGGCTCTCGATTTAGCTTCAATCTGCCAGGCATAAAATGATCTCACTGTGTTTGCTGGGAAGAATGAGCTCCCTCTGGGCACGGTGGGTAATTAGGTTAGTGGATAGTCGGTGTCAGGAAATTGAAAGACCATCCTAATCGGATTCTTTTGTTTCCAGGGGAATCAAAGGAATTTATATGAGTCACTGGGAAATCTCACACGACTCAATTCCACTTGACCATGTAAAATCTGTTTGCTCTCCCTCAATGCTCAAACAACTTTTAATACAAGAGTGTAAATCCAGCACATAAGGTGCATCGGATGTGTCCTCTGAGATGGCTTTCAAGATAATCCCAGATATGTCCGTTTGTATACTAACTAGATACTTACACTCTTCCATCTGTAACAAGCAGGTATTGAACTGTCCCTCTTCCAGTTAAAAGGTCAAAAAGAAAGGAAAGAAACTCAGCAGTCCCAATTATCATCTCATATGCATGCACAATTACAAATACAGGAATAAATTACCACATTATTTGAAAGTCTTCTTAGATGTGCTTGGTATAATAGTTAGGAATATACTATGACAAGAAAAAACATGCTTGCGCAAAGCTATATATGATACTGAAGAAATAGTTCTCCGTTTTGGTGGTATAAGATATGTCATAATGAATTTTAAATGAATATAAACATTGGAATTCTTGAGAGAGATCTATGACTCAGCATAATATATAATAAGAGGACATTATTATTAGAAGTAGTTGTAGCTGTAATAGTGGATTTAACGGCATAAAACTGGCCCTGTGGCATTTTAACTAAATCTAAATATGTCAGAATTAGATGATAAAGGTAAAAATGAACCTGCAGTTTTAGGGTAGTTCTCTGCTCAGATTAGTATCCTGCTAAATAACCTTCAAAGGGCCTTTGGATGTGCTGCCATTTATACCTGTTTGATATTTTTTTGCAGGTGTGCGTCTGGACCGGGTGAGAGGGGGGAGACAGAAGTATAAACGGAGGTTGGATGCAGAGAACAGCGCCTACCTCGGTCTCACCATCCCCCCTCCAGCCAAAAAGCCAAGTGAGTCACAGTTTGGTTACTCTCGCGTGGTTCCCTTAGTTGTTTGATGTCAGTGCAGCAATACCACAACTCGGGGCAATAATAGAAATCTTGGGATTTGGAATATTGCCCCTAGAAATGTATTAATTTTTAAAATATGACATTAAGGAATTTGTGCACAGTGACATTTTGATAATGCGTTGATGGATTTTTATTGGCATTAGAGTAAAAATCTACGAATCTTATCTGCCTCTGATTGACTTATCCCTGATATTCGTACTCTAACCATTCTTATTCCTAACGCCTAAACCAACCCAACCAACGAAGGCAACGAGTACTAGTACCAATCAGAGGCACAGTAGGTCGGGTCATGCCTTCGCCATTGTAGGATTTGTAATTTTGCAAACAAATCTGTGTTCAGTTATGCTATAGCCAGATTAATCTCAAGTTTAACCTGCCACCTTTTCAGATTTTGCACCATATAATATGACATTATAGAAAATAACACTTTTCAAATGTGTAATTATTCATTTATTTGTTTTAATTGTTGTGTTAAGGTTTTAAATCTGTATATACTGATTGTCTCACACATTTCTCTCTCCATCTCTCCTCTCTCTCTCTCTCTCTCTCTCTCCTCCTTCCAGTGACAAAAGATCGTTTCCCATCTGTTGGTGTGGAGCCAGAGAAGATCTATGCCATGCCTGACCCCACCATGCCCGACGGAGACATCAAGGCCCTGACCACGCTGTGCGACTTGGCCGACCGCGAACTGGTGGTCATCATCGGCTGGGCAAAACATATCCCAGGTAGAGAGATGTGACTGCTAATGAGTGACTGTGCTGTCTGGGATACAGGTTTCTGAACATATTAATTTCTTAATTTGACATTGCAACTATTTCAAGCACTTAATAAATCTGTAAAGCCAAATGTTCCAAATCAATAGATGAAAACAATATACAAAAATGTTAGACGAATAACTGTATGAAATGAGACATAGTGGGAGGATTATCTTACCAGTTGTTTTGGTTCATAAAATTGAAAAACACACTATTTTTATTGTAGCAATTTGTGAGTTTTGATAACTTATGATGACTTATAAAAGATAAAGAAATTCATAGGTCTTGTGCGGTTGGTAAAGCAGATAAGTAATGCCACATTTGTACTTTAATTTGCTGAACCAAATACAGTATGAGATTACTGAAGTAGTTCACCGATTGTTGCATACATATAATCACTATACACACACACGCAGTTACACACATGCATGCACACACACAGGATAATTAACATCTGCTACTCATCGGCACCTAAGGGAGAAGCCAGTCCCATATTCTAAAATCTAATCAATAAAGAGCAGCTGAAACCTTTGATTTGACTGGGTAGGGTGGGAGAGTCTGGGGGAGGGAGCTGGGATCCGCCCCTATGTCAATGTATTCCATTTCAATCCCAGACTTAAAGAAAGCAATCCTCTTACTTACTTAAGGGGACTACGCAGAGCCTATTGTAAAATTGATTTATTTAGGGAAATACTGATGGATTTCCCCGGCCCTTGTTGACGAATTCTTAAATAAGACTTGTTATGCAAATGTTCAAAGATCTTTTCTTTTCGTCTCTATCAGACAGATTGAAACAGACATTTTGGGCCCTGGTACGTTTTTAAAGGGAGCGTCAACATCTCATTGATCCAATCAAGTATTATAATATAATAATGTAGAACTGCAACAAACTATTTTCATTCCCAATTAAAAACTGCCAATTATTTTCTAAATTAATCAATTAAAACAGCTTTACAATGCCTTGTTTTATCTCACCAACAGTGCATCCCCAAAGCTATTTAAGTTACAGTGATGTAAAACTAAGAGAAAGCAGATCCTTACATCTGGAACCAAACAGTGTTTCATGTTTTTGCTTGAAACACAATTAATCAATTATCAAAATAATATAATCAACTCTCATACAGGATATTAATTTCTCCTTTACAACTAGACAACTAAACAGATCAACTGGAGATGTTTTTCCTATACCTGTGGATTTATTCATTTATTTTCCAGCTGGCACAACACTAACCAGCTGCTTAGCTCTCCGCTCTGTCCAGGGTACACCCTAATCACTGATTCGTCATCAGATTTACATTTGACACCTTAATTAATACAGTTTGGGGGTGGTTGAAGGTGTGCTGATCCCAAACCTGCCCGGGGATCCTCAGAGGATGGACTTTGCAAAGCCACAGGAGAGCTGTGTGGTCTGATTAGGAGATTTTAGCTTTCGAGGGACACTGGATACGAGGAAAAGGCTGCTGCAGTAGGAAGATGCTTCAAGAGGGACAAAAGTAAAATCACTGACCTGATGTTTTTCTGACAGTAAAAATAAAAGGGTCTTTTACAATCAAATTCTTAAATTTAATCAAAGTTGCAGGGGTGCAGAAAGAAGTCAGATCTTTGGACCTCAATCTCTGTTACATTTTCTATGTATAACTATTGATCTTGTACGCTACGAAGATCTAAATCCAGACCTGACAGAGTTATGAAAGGGGCATGTGACACTCTGGGGACATTTTACCCGGGGCCACCAGGTCAGGGTGTCACCAAGTAACGATTAAGACAAAAGGGGTCCCTACAGTTTAACAGTCCACTCCCACCATTACACTCATAGCCCACTGAGCAAATGGCCTTAACGATGAGGTAATAAGAGTCATTACTGCAGATCGCTCCATTAATGTAAAAGTCCTTCAACATCCAGATGTGGAAAGCTGGAAAGAAACATGCAACGTTGAATAGGTTTCTGTTAGATGTTAGTGGTTGTAGTAGAGCTGCTTACAATTATACTTGCTATGTACTGTAATGTGCACAAGTTCAGTTTTTTAAATATGAAAGCAAATATTTGCACCGATGTGTGTTGGCTGTAACTCATCACTAGGCAGGCATTGATTGGATGTTACACACACTGTCGTGAAAAGTGGAAACAGAATCGTAGCTCGGTGGTCGGGGGGGTCAGGGGTGGCCACTAATTTGTGCAGCTGTTAACACACACGCACCATCTCAGACATGTAAGTGCACATGTGTAGATTTATATGAGGGGCAACATCGCGAGGCATTCAGCACCTTCTGGTATTTAATGTTCACTCAGTTCTGCGCTTTCTTTCTCTTTCCTCTCTTTTTCTCTGACATACACACAGTCTCTACCATCATATCTTTCACACACACTCTCTGGCTTCCTTGTTCTCTTGCTCCCCTGGCTCTACCCCCCTCCTGCTCCTCCTGCTCATATAGGGCCCTCTAGTCTCATTATTACCTCTGTCTTTTTATTAGGCCCATTAGGGCTCTTAGGAGGCCTGTAATGATACTAAATGAATAGAGAGTGAACTGCTGTCTGTTTTAGACCTAGCTCTCAATGACAGCTTCAAGCTTCACTGCCAACCACTCAGTCTCTTCATTGTACTGAATAGGGATTCAATTACTTATCTGATCTGTACCTGTACTGTACTGTTGCATATCCAGAGCACTCTCCTTTTCTGCAAACAATCACTAACATCCCACAGTATGTTGAGGATTACCTTATAGAAATAGACAAGTGGTGTAATGTAGTTCAGTATGGCCTGTAACATCAAGGGATGTTATATGTAGATTTAATCCTGTGTTACAAAGACATAATGGACACTGGGTTTGTCCTGCATGTGGTTTGGTTTCAGCAGCAAAAACCCTTGTTAATGTAGGAAATATGCCTCATGCTTGAAGTCAATTTTGATTTGTTTTGGTGTTTAACCAAGACCATGACCTTTCCCATACCGTACCTTAAAAGCATAATTATTTTAAACCTTTTGTTGCAACCTTTTATATGAAGATCATTTCTAAGGGAAAGGGTTGGTTATACTGCATTTTAAAAAAAAACCCATTGAAATGTATAATTTCTGTAAAAACAGCACATAACATATACAATAACTACAAAACAGAACTAAAAACCAAACTAAACTGCAGTACATGAACAAAAAGAACTACACTCGGCTAATTAGACAGCTAAAGTAAGATAGCTATATGGTAGCCATTGAGATAGCAACAGCTAACTTTAGCTAAAGCTAAATGTTGTTTCTTTTACCCTGCTTTCTTTTTATTTAAAAAATATTAATTTTGAAACAGTATTTTGTTAATTCAGTTTCTTATCCAACATAACTAAGTAGCTATCCTGTAGTGAAGGAAAAACAGCTAAACTAGTCTGATTAAAGGTAACTAGCGTAGCTTAGCAGAATTTTAGTAGCTCCCAATTCTGTGTATTTAAGTTACCTTTAAAATGAACATACTTAAATGTATTATTTACATTTATTTTATAGAGACAACCTATATGAACTGTAGCTATAACTATGTAAAATATATTATTATTATATTAATATTTTTCTTACACAAACTAGTTCAAAATGACACATTTAGAAAGAAAGAAAGCTGTCCCTGGTTTTGCTGAAGATTGATTGAATGGCAGAGTGCTTTATCTGCATTTTTAAGGTATCCTGTAGAGTCTATGACAGTGATTTTTTTATAATCAGTATAACGGTATAAATTAAGGCATTACAACCTTTCTGTCTCTTACGCAGTTTGCCTGCCAGCCTATAAACTCAATTTCCTTAATTTCTTCTTTACTGCTCTCTGCCTTTGCAGGGCGGAAGAGTAGACAATAATTTATCATAGGTTTCTCATAGTGCAGTGGAAAACCTGTGTTAACACTTGTCTCTGCTCATGCTTCTCGTCATCACAAGGGGAGAAAACTGCAGAGACGGAGACACAGACATTCCCCAGTTTGCTCAATATTGTGTCATGTTTGGTCAAACGGCAGTAAATCAGTAGGGTGAAATATTGATATTTCATCAGGGCCAATCACCCTCCACAGTGACACTTAACTCAGCCACCTCCGGGCGACGCACCTCAAGCTTGGGGGCGACCCCCGGGGAGCGAGGAAGTCACTCCATCGCTTCAGGAAATTGAGTGGAAAGAAGAAAAAAAGATGCCGCGGGAAAAGAGAAGAATGATGAAGGGAAAAAAGAGAGGTTTTTTTACACAGTCTGTAAAGAAAGGGAGTATTGCAGAAAAAAAACATGAATAAGAAAATAAATAGTGCTCCAAAAATTAAAGTTTTTAACTGTATGAGAGGTTTGATGTTTTAAATACTCGTAATAAGCATTATTTTTCGTCGTAATCTTTTTTTTTTTTTCTAACTCACGTTGTTAGTTAAGTATAGCCATTGAACCTCCCTCGCAAAAGTGTCTTTTGGAGGTGGAGAGAGTTCCTAATGCAGCCTACAGTATCTACGTGATCCCGTAGTCCCTCCATCCCCCCACTAAACGTGTACCGGATGTCCTCCATCAGCTGTCTGTTTGTCAGATCTGAGGCTTGGATCGATCCCCCTTTCGCATTTGGTGGACTGATTACAATCTACTAATCAATGACACCCCCAGCACTCTTTTCTCTCTCCCTCATTCTCTCACTCCTCGTCGTTTCTCTATTTGCTTGATAAGAACCATCGGGAGGACCTCTTTTAAGTCAACCTGCCCCATTCCCCCATCCATACAACCTCAGATTTAAGTAAGCAGAGTGGTGGGTTCAAGGCCCTGGTCAATACCCCCCATCACCTTCCTATTCACTATAGAGTGGTGAAAGGTATTGTGGCGGCTGAGGTCCTTTCAGATGTCTGTCTGTTTGATGTGGTGTGTGTGAATGTTAGAGAAGAGCGTTGATGGGTCGACCTCCAGATCTTGGATGAATTGTTAACCCCACCTCAGAAGGTTGAACACAAGAGACAAAGGAGACCAAGAAGGTGTTTATCAGTTGGAATATATTTGTGCTGTGTTTTAATTGTATGCAGTTCATTTAGAGAGAATCCCAGTAATTGTGTTTATGACACAGTCGTAACTTCATGTGATAACCAGCTCTAATTTTAAAACACTATAATACTCTTACTTAAAAACAATTCTTCTTCAGTATACTTCATCAGGGTGGTGTCTGAGGTTGCTTTCAATTTCAGTTGTATATAGTTCGTCAGGTACTTATGTTTGACTTTACAAAAGAAAAATAAATGACTACAAACAGAAGATATAAGTAACATTACAACTAATAAATTACTCTAGGCAACTGAGCTGAACTCCTCCATAGATGCAGGCTGTGTGATGCCATGGAAAGTTTAGAAAAAAAGCTACAACAATCCTTTTTTTTTTTTTTACTTTTCCACAAAATGCAGTATTTTACTCCAAAATTGATTAATAAAAACTTTGCATCTTAATTTTTCTGCACAAAACCTGGCTAAACCTATACTATTTCAACATCTTTAAAAACACAGCATACTCAAATCTCTTTCATCACTCAGCAGTTATGGATGGCTCTCAATCATTTCTCAGTAAACCTAATGTTGACCTCAACATGCTGTATCTTCCCTTTAACTGAAATTCATTTTCTTAAAATGTCATATTTTTTAAGACCAAATGTAATCCATTAAACTCTAAATGGCTTCAAAGGATACGTTCACACTGCAGGCACATGTGGCCCACTTTGGATAGTTTTGCTCATGTGACTCTATTATGTGATATAATGTGACTATATGTGAATCTTTTTAGTATTGGGCCCAGTGTGGTCCACATATGATTTTTTGCATTCTGTATACATTGCCAAATATATAGCTCCTTTGTTAAGGAGTTAAGTACCTATTTATAAATCCAAAATGCCTCTTGAAAATTCACATGACTAATTGCTTAACTTCATATGAAACTACTCTAATGAAGGCATGATAGCCCAAAAAATGTTTGAGGAATGAAACTCTTTTACGACTCATATAAGTTTGATGAATAACTTTGAACTGTGACAGATTGTGACACAAACAGACATAACAGAGAATTTTAAAATCCAGAATTAATTTGTTATAAAGAAGAATTAATTTTGTATTCTTTCGTCCTCGCCATGACAAGAACAAGAGATGGCTGGGTTTACGAGTGGATTTGTCCCCACTAAGCGGTGTCTCATGTACTTATGTAGTGGGCTGCAGAAGGACCGACTGTTGACGGTTGACGGTTGAAGCAGCCTCGGCTCACGTTTCAAAGGCCTCTACTCTTGACTGATTTATATTCTTCCCTTAAGCCACCACATACACTCATCGGCCTCTGTTTCATGTTGGACTTCTCCAGGGATTATGCAGCATTATATACAGTACATAGCCCATAAAACATATGAAGGGCTTGAGACGGCCAATTACAGTGCAGTGACTCATGATTTGTCATGTGGTTGTAAAGTGTGAGTGCTCAGCAGTACCTGGAAAGAAAATCTCAAAAACCAACACTTTACTCTTTAATCCTGCAGGTTTTTCCACCCTCTCACTGGCAGACCAGATGAGTCTACTGCAGAGTGCCTGGATGGAGATCCTGGTGCTGAGCATCGTGTTTCGCTCACTGCCCTGCGAGGACGAGATCGTGTACGCGGAGGACTATGTGGTAGACGAGGAGCAGGCGAGGATCTCGGGCCTGTTGGACCTGCACGTTGCCATCCTGCCGCTGGTGAGACGCTACAAGAAGCTGCGCATGGAGAAGGAAGAGTTTGTCACGCTCAAAGCCATCGCCCTCGCCAATTCAGGTACAGATAACCTCACTCCCACTGCAGTGCAGTTGTTCAAACACACAGAACTTTTTAAATATATAATATAATATATATGTTATTATATATATATATTAAATTCTAGTTGATATAACAATTTTTTTTTTTTTGAGCAAATGTGGGAAGATATCAAGAATTCTTTTGACCATTTGATGGAGTCTTGGTTTATTCACTCTGTGTAAACATTATATAGCATCAATATATGAGCTTCTTTTGGTGGAAATTAAAAGAAACATACTTGAAAATATGCCAGAACGTTAACTATAAAACAAAGAGTGCGTGCTTTAGATAACTTCTGGTTTAAGCACTTGACATAACAGAAATTATATATTTAAAGGTAGCATCAAGATCATTTCAATTGCAGTAATTTGGCCAAATATCAAAATATCATTTATTTTGCTCTACAAACCCGAAGGTGCCGTGGGCTCAGTAGGAAGGTACATCTCTATGTTAAATTCTAGATAAATCTAGATAGTTGGCATTTAATTAAAGCAAACAAAGAAATAAACCAAAAAAAATGTCAAGTGGTTGTCTGTATCTGGTGAGCCGATCACTTCCACAATGAAGGATACCTGATAAGAGGGGACAAAAAGGTCAGAGGCACGGTTGTTTAATTTAACACTCTCACAGTGTGTGTGTGTGCGTGTCAGTATCTATATTTTAATTTGTGTGCACATACGTGTGTGCGTGTGTGTGTGTGTGTGAGACTGTCACATTGCGCTCTCATTCTCTCCATCTCCATAACAGTAGCTGCCAGCGCGCCACAGCCGAGGGAGATATATTTAGCATTTCATTAGGAAAACAGGGGCTGTCAATAAAATGTGTTAAGTGGAGTGGAATGAGCGTTGGGGAGCGACGGGCCTCGTTTGTTCCAATGTGAAGATGCTGCGCCCGTATCGACAGTTTGCTTTTCATGAGGCCGGGCCTGTCCCCCACTAATCAATGCCTGTTAGGAGTCTTTTCTCCTGCCTGACTGAAAAATGAAAAATGCTGAGCCCAGAGCTTTAGTCTTCTGATGACAAACTCTCCATGGGAGAGTGGAGAGAGGGGAGGATGAATGGGAGAGGAGGGCTGGAGGGGAGGGGTGGGTGATGGAAGGACAGGGGATGTATAAAGGTAAGGGAGAAGTGTGAGAGAGGATGGCAGGGGTTGAAAGGGGGGCTCAGGGAGGGCGAGAGGGCAGCCTCGGCTCGTTTGAACACAGTCTCAGAGAGCTTCGGCTGCAGGGGTCCTGTGGGTGTGACAGCTGTGGAAATTCATGGCCATTGATTTTGTAATTAGCGGAGTATCGACGGGATTGACGCCAGGCTGCTGACGGATTACATGGAAATTGTTTCTTCAAAGTTAGTTTTGCATTCCGCCCATAACCTCCTTCAACACACACACACAGACACACACATGAAAACACTCCCTTTGCGTTTCCACACACTGACACACATTTGAAAACATATTCTTTCTTTCCCTCTCCCCTCCTCTCTCTGCTTCACACACACACATGCTCGCACAGCCAAACGAGGATCAGATCAGCATTAACATGAAGGTTTCAAATGAAGAGTGCTGGAACACATGTGCGGTCCACATAGCCTAGTTAATTTCCCAAGATAGAAACGCAATTTACACAGAAGGCGACTGGTAAAAGAGACTTAATCAGTCAGTTAGGAACATAATTAGCCTTGTACTTTCCTTTTTTCTGCCTCATTTACATGTTTGTACACGGTCTTACTTCACTCCACAACTTTCATGACACATAGCAGAGCTGATCTAATTCACTCACACGCTTCAATCAGCAGCCACGTTTGGTTTAGCTTTAGTAATACAGTGTGTTTTAGGATGAGACGAGTCCATCTTATCCCGTTAGATATACCAAGATGAATGGTTTTGATTCAATTATGATACTGAATTGAATTCACATTTTGTTGTGCACAATTTTATCTATCGGTTAATGAATTGTGGATATGATACATCCACAGATGAGACCTGACACTGCGAGTCTGTGCAGAGAAATTGGCTGAAAGCAAACCACTGCTTGTCCATTAAAACACTCTGTCAGCTCGTTCTTTGGAGGACAAGCCTGTTTTTTTTGTTTTTTTCCTGACTTGTAGACTTACACATAGAGAGCAGTTTTTAATAAGTCTCAACTGGTTTTATTTTAGTGCCTATACATAAGGGGGCCAACTGCTCTTTCTTATGGAAATGAAGGCCATCTGCCGCCATCATTCAGCTGAACGATATCCTAGTAATGCAGCCATCTGAATTCATTAGCAGGGGGGGATGTATGTGGTCGCATGATACCAAAGAAATGAATCTTTTTCCTGTCCTACCATATATTTATACAGACCTACAGTTCCTCTCTCTCTCTCTCTCCCCAGAGTCCTGGCCATGCATAGGCATTTATTTAAGGAGCGTCATTAACCACTAACAAGAGAAAACCTCTCTCCAAAATTGCATGTTTGCAAAGACAGGCTGCGGAATTTAAAGCCGCAAAACACCAAGTTCTTGTCGCAGCTGTGGATGTTTTGTCATCCTGCAGATTAATAGAAAATGTTTGCTTTTCATTTTAATGCAAATATAAATAATCTTTTCTTTTGTCCCTCCATCCTTCCCCACCACCCTTCTCGCTCCAGACTCGATGCACATAGAGAATATCGAGGCCGTCCAAAGGCTCCAGGATTCCCTCCACGAGGCTCTGCAGGACTTTGAGGGCTCCCAGCATCCAGAGGACCCTCGGCGGGCAGGCAAGCTGCTAATGACCCTGCCTCTGCTCCGTCAGACCGCCACCAAGGCTGTTCAGCACTTCTACAGCATCAAAATGCAGGGCAAAGTCCCCATGCACAAACTATTCCTCGAGATGTTGGAGGCCAAGGCTTGACACCCGGGCCAGATGTTTGACAGACAGCTGCATCACCCAATGGGAGGCGAGGGACAGCGCATAAAAAATGAAGGCGGCGTGCCAATTGAAAGGAAGAAGCTTGGACTACTGAGTCATTTTAACACTTTTAAATGGTAATTAACGTAAAAGAGAAAGGGACTTGAGATGGTTTTAAATAGGGTGAATATCAACCTGATTGACATGGGATCATGATGATGTATATAAAGATGTTGTGTACAGAAATCAGGCAACTGAGGTCTTGTTATAACCAGAGACCCATTGCTCTATATCACCTGAAGCTTCTGTGAATTTCTTTCTTATCTTATTTTCATCTCAAAATGGAAGTGTGTCAATATAAATGTCCTAAAGAACTGTACGGCTACGTAGCCACATTATGTGTTTTTGTTTCTTTTCTTTAATATTTTCTAATCTGAGTTGTTAAAGCAATAGTCTCTAACTGGTCTACATATAATATGTGTACTGTATATTGTGTGAAATTGCACTGGGCGGGGGCGGGGGGGGAGAATTGTTAGACATATTCTTATATTCGTCATCAAAGAAAGCGATACCCTTCATGGGTATGTAAGATTCTCAATTTCCTCGTAATATATTTACCTCGTAGTAGCTTCATCGACTCAGCGGTTTTAGTCAACATGGTGCTTACAGAAGGACAATGGTTGGCCAGTGATCAAGTTCACAAAGAGTTTGCACTAAGCATCTATGAAAAACGCGGCAATAATGGGTATTGTGCTAGCGAGCTCTGTCTGGTAGCATCTCAGTCAGTGTTTTTTTGCTTATAGTTACTAAATCCCCTCCTCACTTCTCTCTGTGTTCAGTGTCATACACACATTTTGGCAACTAAGCATACTGTGAAAAATACACATGATAAGCTATATTCTGTGCTGAGAATTTTTATCGTAAACTGTACGGCTTGTTTTAAAAAACGTTTATTCTATTTAAAACCAGGTAAAGGACACAATAACAGCAGGATCTAAACAGTTTAATGCAATCTAATCTGCATTTTAATGCAACCTGATAGCCCTGCAATAAATACTACCTAACGTTCAGTTTGTTTCAGATTTGTGCTGATTCAACTCTCTGGTAATTTTTGAGTCTATAGTTTGTGATGGTGCTGTATTAGATTGCATTATGTTGTATAGGTTTTGCTTTTTTCTTGTGTTTAGGTTGTATTCTCAAACAACAAGTGTCACTATATTTATAGCATTAGTCCCACAGGTCATATGTGATACCAAAGTCTGCATGCTAGTCTCACACATTTAAACACAGGTTAAATATTGAGGCTCTGAGAGAGGAAACTTTTATATGTTTACTCTGCTGTCACTGATCTTGAAGATAAACACAGAAAGAAATAGAATATTTTACATTCTGATTTCCTCATTCAAAGGCCTCATGTCTTCATGTGTGGCTGTGGCAATATTGGGCATCATTTCACTCCTTTTAGTATAATTGCCACATGTGAAACAACTTTTCCAAACTATGTCAGCAAGGCCAAACCTCATCTGTACCTAATAAGGTGACCACTGAGTGTACATTAACAGCCAACACAACTGCCACAGCTGAAGCTGAGTTAAAAATAATAGCTGTTTTTTTTTTAACTGGGGGTTTTAGGCCCCCTCTTGGCAGCCTATTAAAAATGTTTGGATGTAACACTATAACAGATTACTAGAAGTTTAAATATTTATGTGCAAAAATATAATGACACTTGTGTTTCTGAGGATAATTTGAATTACCCTATGAATTGAAACTTAACAATAATAACAGACGTCTCACTGATGTTCTGTATCTTAGACAAAGGTTTTTGCTTGTCTTTAATGAAGGTGCTAACCATTCATACTGGCACTGTATGTACATTTCTACAAACTCACTGAGGTGCACAAACTTAAGGTAATAAATCTGTATATTCCAGAAGTGATAGTAGACTTTTATAGCGTAATATCTATCAATTGTAAACCAGTTGCCAAATTATTCAAGGAAAGCAATCAGAATAATGTGATACAGTTATCAACATGTTATAATAAGATCAAAATAATACAATAATAGATTAATCAGCTGCTCTTAGGGCTTTAGTGAGACAGATATTGTCCCTTATGAACACTTTAAAGCAGCAGTGTCTTTAAAGTGTTAAGTGCCATTAGCTTCTGCCCAAACAAGAAGAAAACATAAAGCCAAGTGACCAGTAACTACAGACATAGGCCAGTTTCATTCACCCCACAGGAACAGACGCTATGGATTCACTGCAATGTAATGCATAGATAATTATAACCGAATACAGTAGAGAATACAACTCCCATGATGCAATTACCTAAATGTGTAACCAGCTAAGTTGAAGTGAAGGATGTATCGCCTCTGTACAGTAGCAAACCAAAGCGTAGAGTCTTCAAATACTTTAAAATGAAACACTGATAAAATTGCATTTTGAGCCAGCCGGTAAAAAAAAAAAGTATATTATTAATGCTAGTTCAGCCATTCGTTTTTGAGCATCCTCTTTACGATGGTGGTGATAACAGGATGCAAACCTTTTTATATTTTTTGTTCAGTCAATACATGCATTGATTAAACATCAGTCTCTTTGTCGATATGTGTAGTCTCACTCTGTAGCCTAACTAAGAGATGAAACTACCATAAAAAATGTGATGTCTTTCATATTTTGATGGTTAAAGGAGAGCGTTTCACTCGACCAAACAAGCTGACCCCCTCTCCTCTGACCAGAGTTCCCTCACATACCTCCTCTGTCCACTTTGAAGACTGAGCGATAGCAGATAATTGTTTCCCAACTTTCCCTTCTTCTCAAATTAATATAAGAAAATAAAAGAAAAATGCTTAATTTATTTTCAGAGTTCTAAAACGGTTCTACTGCATCCAATTAATTCTAATTGTCTCCTAAGCTGAAATTCTCAATAGAAATGGAGCAATTAAATTTCTGCTTTGGCTCTACCTTGGGGACGAGAGACATTTTATTTCGGTTGACAGTGGGGAGGGTTTGTCTAAACCTTTACAAAGGCGATTTCATGGGTGTCTGTAATAGTTTCATAACAGAACGATCACTGGGCTATGCAAGGCAAATATGGCCACCTATGTTCCTTATTTTGTGGAGCATCAGACTGACATTTAGTTGTGCTTTGTTTACAACGTGGACATACTGTACAGTGCTGTACACTGCAAATGTATTGTGCATATTTCACCGTACTATACTGTAGCTGCTGTGCATTGATATAACTATGATCATTTGTTTAATTTCTCATGATGTATTAGCAACCCACCCGAATAGCTGTATAATATAAATCACTGTACTGAGTCAAGTGAGAATACGTCCTTATATTTGGTCCAAGGTGGGATATTCTCTTATTTTATTTTCTGTGTCTTTGTGTCTCTCAATGTTCATCGATTTTGGTTATCAGCACAGCAGGACGTATAGCGAGTGAAGTAGTCTAGACCCTATACCTCAATTCCATATTTTGAAAATTACACTGGGTTTGGAAACGGGCCATGGCTTCCTCCTGGGAATCAGTGGCACAGAAATAAAGTGACATCACTGACTGGGTATTAAAAAAAATGTAGATGAACCTACTGCAATTGGGGAGCACATTCCTCGGAGGAGAAAGCTGCTTATTCGCTGTTCCATTTGCGGACTTATCTTATCTCCGTGCACTCTGAGATGACGAGATTTACATAAAACATGGAGGAACCTCCCTGGCCGTTCTAGTCTGCGGTGTATAAAGGACCCTGCTAGGTGTATGTACCGTAGACATGTGATTACCCAAGAGGTTTACTCCCCTCAAAAGCAATATGTTAGTAATTGTGATATATGAATCAAGTTAAAAGGGAGCTTTGGTTCATTTTAATTATAAACTTACCCTATGCTTGGAAAAAGGAGAGGGTGACTATGCACACACACGTTCACAGTCCTGGTGAGGCAAAGGGAAAAAATGTGAAAATGTTGGAACTGAGAAGCAAAAAGCCAACCACAGCTGACTTTCACTGGACAGTTATTGTGTGGCATTTTCTTGTGTTTTGTTTGTTGTGTTCATGCCTAATGTACCCATGTGTAAATATATGCTTTTTTTTGGAGTGAGTCAGATCTAACAGTGCACTGAATGTACAGTGACAATAAAATCACATGGTTTATGTAATCACTGCAAATGATTTCTTTAAATATCTTCAAGTCAACGAACGTGGGGAAACTACGACAACAGTTTGCACCATATTTACTGACAAGGTTAACTTAATGTATCACCATTTGTTGCCCAGGATCTATGGATACCAAAAAGTACCAACACACTGCTGTCATGAAAGTGACAATGTGTCGACCACAGTGGTCTTCGTCAGAGCCTAACCCCCCCTCAGGCCTGAGGAAGACCATTTGTGATCATGTCATTGCAGAATAAAAGAAGAATTGGGAAGAAGATAGCAGTTTTTGTGCAGATTGTCAGATTGCCTCTTGACGGTTGTCTCTACGGAAACCTTCATTAATACAGCATCCTTGGGTTTATTTTTGAGCACTAGCTTGATAAACTCTTAAATATGTTACAGAATAAGACTGCTGGTTTTATCTTTTAACAAGTTGATAAAAATTGCAAGGTGCAGTCGCACTACAATGATAATACTGACACTATACTATGCCGTGTAAGTTCGATCAATATATATTTTATTTGCATGTTCCCCTAACATATTTAAAATATGCACAATATGCCATAACATTACCAGTAAATGTAAGGCAAAATTAAAATTAGAAAATTCTTATTAAGTTAGTTTTAAAAGCATTTGAAATTGTGAATTTCTAAAATTAGTATGTATGTTATATAATGTGCTGTTGCTTTTAGCTACTTAATCAACAACTATACGTTTTGGTGAACAATCAGTATTTTTTTTCCAGTAGATATCACAAAATAACATAATAATAATAGTAAAAATAATAATAATAGTAATTTCATTAGAGGCATCTATATCCAGTGTTACAGCACAGCCTGATCTCAGGATAAGAGACGTACAGTCAAACGGCGCCTAGAGTGACCAGTCATGTACGTGTGTGTGTGTGTCTATGTGTGCACTTGTACGTGTAGCAAGACGGTGCCTTGGGGGTGTAACGGCATCCTCCTGCCCCGACTGTCAGTTGGTTAGCTGTCTACACAATGTCCCGTTTGACCTTGTGTTGGCTACAACACTGGCTGAATGCACATCTGACACACTCTCTTCCTTTGCGGTGCAATCCTGTGGAAGTCATTTCATTTACTGGGCTTTCAACTTCAGCCAATATGGGGGCTGGGGGAGTAAGTCTGTGTTTAATCAGCCTGCCACAAACCATTCCCCTAAACAAAATCAACTATGATGTCCAGCGAAAAGATCTCTCAACAGAAGATTGAATTAAACATATAAATGGGCTTGTCACTTTTTCATTTTTTATTTATTCGCTTGGCACGGCTACGCCCGCCACTCCATATTATTGCTGGAAATAACAGTATTAACTTGTGGATTGTTCTGCACAGTATATCAGCATTACCAGTATGTTAATATAGTGACTGTTGAGGTGTTATCCATTTACACTTACAGGATAACTGACACATTAAGAAAAAACCTGTAAGGAAAGTAAAAGAAGCTCAAAAACAGAAGAAAAAACATAATCACCTGTCTCTTAAACTTCCTATCACTGCAGCTCTTCTCTCGTAGGATAGTAGCCTTTTTCTCTGTTGTCAGTCTTGTAGGAGAGAATTAGGGCATGGCCCACTGTCCTCAGAGTGACTTTCCATCGTGTAAACCATGTTTTATTCTCCTTAAATCGCCAACAGTCGTCCAGCTTGTCTGTGCTTAAGAAGGGGCATTGACACTGTCACACTGTGGCCTGTTAATCAGGCAACCTTGTTGCCTACCTCTTGAGAAAATCTATGATCACACTGTTAGTGCAACCTTGTACTGTCACCACCGGCTTTAGCTCCACTACGGTACGCTCACACTCCTTCCTTTGACTCATGTGAGGATTATTCAGCGGCTGAGGTGCGAGTCCACTGAGAATAGGCTGTAAAGTGTCAGTCATGGTTACCCGGAGTGGTGTTGTCTTAGACAATGTAACTAGGTGAAAGTGAGTGAAGGAGATAGGAAACCATCAATATGCTCCCTGTGTAAATTGAAGAAGGTCATGATTTATGGCTCCCGGCTACAGCATACATACATGCTGAATCTACTCTTTTTTTTTTCCCTCTGTCGCCTGGCTCAAGGACAGGTAAGGGTGCCTTTCTCCTCAGCTCATCCCCACCACCATGCAGTCTGTGGCACTTTGTGATGGACAGCCTTGAGAAGGCCGGTGTTTTTTCAAAATGAATTGAGCGCCATCTATAGGTAGCCACAGTGAGTGAGTGGCGGAGCCTCTGGTGTACAGACTGCAGGGAGGAAACAAACCATCAGATATGCATTAAAATGGTGCACTCTACTACCTGTAATACTCCTCATCCACCTGCCGCTTTACATGTTTCATCACCTCATCAGTCACGTCTGTCTTTCAGTCTCCTTTTACTTGGGGACTCAGACAGAGAGGGGACAGCTGTGGGTTTTCTAAGGCCTCGCAACAGCTGCAAACCCCGCATGGCAATGCATCTGTTCAAGTCTTGCAGCATTATGGCCTGTATTTCAACTAAAGCAAGTTACATTACAGTTCATAGTGGGGTTCTCTCTGGTCTTACCCTATTAACCAGTGAGCAGATGGAAATTATATGGGAGGGTGTTAAGCCTGAAAATGGACTTGCAAGCATCTTTCTGTCTCAAGTATGCTGCTTAAAATGGGACAATTCAAATAAGGCCACATGAGAGAAATCAGGACTGGTCTGTAAATTCATTCGAGGTGGCACATTGAATACCATGAAGTCTTCTCTGAATCTTAAAGTTTATTATTTTTTATATATTTGGATGATTTATTATGTCTGGGTGCCTCTGACGTTGTTACTTTGCCTTTGGAGGGAGCCAGACGTAACAAATGGAGCACTCATTAGCATTTGACCTCCACATTATGCTTTGTTTACCTGCCTCTCCTCACCTCTATATCTCCTCAGACAAAATCAGGGCTTGCACAGAAGGCTCCGACTGTGACACAGTTTTGTTACTGGGCGGTAAAGGTAAGTATCACATTTGCATTGCAAGATTTCTCAAACAACTTGAGCGTGCAGAAACAAGGAGGGGGAAAAAGATGCTCTGCTCCTCGGGGACGTAGCCACTCCCAGACGCTGTCGTCTAGGCTCTGGAGTCCTGACAGCTGCTTAAATCCCCAGAGATGATAGAAAGAAGTATGAACAAAAGTTACAGTAAAGAGTCACAGGCTGTTGTGTGAAGGGAGGAGACTATTGTGTTTGGATTGGGAGTTTACCACTAACTGCTTATGGCCAGAAATGAATGCCTGATACAACATGGAGGTGTGTGAATGAACAGTTTAATCTTTTTTTTTCTTTATCTATAACAGTGATCACACAGTTGCAAAGCCATTAAAAAGCACATGGTTCAAAAATATAGTTTTTAAACTGCATTAAAGAGATTTTAGTGTCAATATTCTGGTGCATGTTCATTCATACAGTGCAGCCACACCAGAAAATAGTATATATGACACAAGTATTATCAAATCAAATGAAGTTGAAACATGAATTAAATGTAGCTGAAAAACTTAACTGAACTAAAACTGAAAAAAATAAATTAATAATAATAATAAAATAATTCCAATTGCAATTATATGCTCTGTGCAATATGCAATATTAACATTTCCACGTTTCATGGGCAAGCAGGTCATGCACACAGTGTGTGTAAAGAGAATCATGAGCAACAAGTAATGGCAAACTCACACCACCCCGCACCCACACACCCACACACACACACACACACACACACACACACACACACGCATTATATTACCAGACCGCGGGGTGTGGCAGGTAGCTGTGTGTGCTGTAGTTAATTGCGCAACGAGAAACTGTTCTCTAATTTATTTCTTGCCTGTCCATACAAGAGTGATCATGAAACCCCATTCATTTCACAGAACACAATTTTCATATTTAATGAGCATGACTCCAATACAATTACAGTAATTAGTCAAATCTCACTCACGGCCAATGGAGCTCGCCACCATTATTAGTGGATCTTATTAATGATGTTGCACATGTGGTGCTCATAGGGTAATTGAGGGCATGTGTGGGTATGGGAACAGGGGTACTGGGGATTGGAAAGCAGTGGTGGTGTCAGTCTGTTTTCTGTCTCTACTGGGCCGTATGTTAAATGGAGGTCTGCTTGATATTAACTTTGAGATGTTTAAACACGGTGGCAGGCACTGCTATTGATTTGACGACATGGCTGTCCGTAGTAGGTTTTGCCTTCACCTTATATAGGATAACTTGAATTCTACATAAATTCCATTCAATCACTGACTTTAGAAAGTCACATGCGTTTGTTGTTCCATCAGCTGACCTAAAAGTTTGTATTTTACAAGCTGCTTTAAATAATTGCATGTCGGTTCACAGCATCACCGTGCTGTGCTCCGGGCCCAGGAGGATCACAACAAAAAAGACAAAGGGAGACTCTGGGAAAAAGAAGCCCATTTACTGTGAGTGATGATACTGCAGTGTCTGACATTTTGGAGGTTTGTAGAGCTTCTCTTTCCAGACTGATCCTTATTAAACCTATAGAGCTGTGTTGCATCTGCAATAAGAGCATGCAGCAGCTAGTGACACACCTCCCCACAATATGGAGGACATAATTGTTGCAGATTCTTCTTTGTGTTATTATGTGTATCTGTGATGAGGAGATTTTTTGATGTGGACTTAAATCTGTGATTTTACATTCAGAATTTGATACATGTAAAACTTTTACATTTTGCTAATGTGTGTGTTTCAAGAAGATAAAACCAGCACCATATCAACATATAGTCCTTTTTATACACACAGTGGTGAAACCTCTTATGTAGCTTCATGTGCTTTGAACCAGTTAGTGTCAGGGTTGATGTTTATAAAGAAGCAATAATTTTATTCAAAGAAAAAGTGACTTAATGGCCTCTTATCCAATTAAGGGCAGTGTCACCGCTAAGTTAATGAGTGTGACGCCGCAACAGAAAAACCTCTATTAACACAACATAATTAGCGGAACATTGTGGAATTAGACAGCAGCA